GATTCACCCCGTGTCTCTCCTTCTACATTGTCACCTCCTCTGCTTCCCAGGGCTCCCCGTCCCTGCCTGGCTGCCGGTACCTTCCGTCGCCGTCCCCGGGCTGTTTGCAGCGGTTCCCCGGCTGGGGACTGTCCTGCGGGCGGTGGCCAGGACCATGCCCCGCTGTCCCAACCTGTCTGTGGGACTTTGTGCCATCACGTTCCCAAAGATGTGTCCAAAGCAAGCACGTTCCTTACGTTTGAAGTAGTGCTGTAGGTTCCCCGTGCTGAAAAGCTGCGGGTAGCGCCCGAGTGGCGTTCCGCTTCTCCTTAACGACTCGTTACCTCTGCCGTGGGACGCGGATGACAGTGACATTGAGACTGTTCTCTTGTCTGCCCTGGGAAACGCCAGATACTCAATAACGAGTGGGTGAGCAGCTCCACAGGTACATTTGCTCATTTTTCTTTTTTAATGATGAACACAAATTGATCAGAAATAAAGATAAATTAGGAAAATCCCTGCACACCTTGAGTCTCAATCCATTTTCTCCGGTTTTGTCTCTGCCTTTCTAAGGAGTTTGCTCAGTTTCTCCTTTTAACTTACTTTTATAGCACAACTTAGTCCTTTGTTGTGCCTAACAAGTCCTTTGCTTGAAACTAACAAAAATTGCAGTGAGCTGCCTGATGATGACTATTGTGTAAAAATGCATGTGCATCTGTCTTGCAGAAATGCTGCTCATGGATTCTCACTTATTCAGGTGGACAGTATGAAGGTCACCATGAAGGATATCTTGCAAAAGGCCTTAAAGAGAAGGAAGGGATCACAGAGAGGCTCAGGTGGGTTATTTATCATATTTTCTAGAGGGTAGGGTGTTTTTCCATGAGCATATTCTATATCTCTTTTTAACTGTCGTGCAAGGTTTTGTCCATGGGTATTGTGATTTTCAGCACCGCTCAGCAGCAGTTCTGTGCGCAGGTTTGTGTCCTAGATATTGGCGAAAAGCAGCCGGTGGAGGAGCTGCATAATGCTTGCTGCAGAGCAGTATATCCATTACTGCAAATATTTATTTATGATAACAAAGCCATTTGCATTCCAGCCCAGCTAGTGGTAGTTTGAGATGATGGGTGGGAGTACAGTGAGACCAGTCCTTGACAGCATTTGTGTACTTTTAATTTACGTAAGAAAATGATGCTTAGTATGATTTTTAAATAATTTAAAGGACTAGTAGTTACGTGTAGAGAAAAAGAAAAATTTACATTCTGCAATGTTGTTGAAATAGTACTATTTTAGTTCAGACATATCAACATTAAAAAAAGGAAATTTACAGTACTTGCAGTTATATTTTAGAGCGATGCTTTTCCAGGGTGTAAATGTGCATTCACGTATATGTTGGTCTATATATTTCAAAAGTATAATGCAGAGAGATCTTTCCAGCAACAAGAAATAATTACTGTGAGAAATTGCACCGAGTCTTGTCACGCAACAAAGGAACTTTAATATAAACCCATCTGTAGGCTGGGTAAAGATAAGGATCTTGTCTTTGTAAATGAATGAAGCCTCCTTATATACCCTTAGTTTTAACTATGGGAAAAGAAAATAAACCCTGTTCTCTGTAGAGAAAGTAGTTCAGTGCCGTTTTTAAACGAGTGTATAATCTGTCATGGATTTAATTAGCTATCTTCAGATGAGAGCTGAAGTTTTAATAAAAGTTAGAAGAGATAACACAGTGAAGGACACGGATGAGCTGTCTCAAGGCCATATTCCAAGGGAACGATAAGAGCTGTAAAAAATGGCAGAGGAGAGCAATTGAATGAAGCAATGAAAATCTGATTCTCGTAAAAAAAAAAAAAAAAAAAAGGGCGAGGGGGGGAGAGTGGGAGAGCGATGCCGGTAGGGGTGGCTGTAGATGAGACCCGCCAGCGTCTGCAGCAATTTGGCCGCTGGCCAGCAGTCATTGTTCACCCTCGGCTGTGGCGGCTCCGTCCAGATGTGCCAACTGCACGTTCCGGCTTTTGCCAGCTGACTGCGCCGTTTGATAACCAGCTCTCTGGGTGCCCATCACTGGCCGCAGAGATAGAATTAAATGATGATGATCTTCCCACAAGTTGGGAGAGGAAACAATGCATATAAATCTTGATTTCATCTCAGCGTGAGAAGTCTTTATCCATCATCACTCATAATGAACAAGTCGTTAGCTGCGATGAATGGTGTTCTGGTTTTTTCAAACACCTCTTTTGTTCACTTTTTGGGTGACTTTTATTTATTTCCTGGGGTCAGATTTCTCTTCCCAGAAGGAAGGTGGCTAAAGGATTCACTTAGCTCAGTCTTTAAACTGCTTTCCTCCTCTGTGTAACAGATGTTTTACTCTCTGTCCATTTGAAATGTGGTTTTGCTTTTATTTTGTTACTTTTGCTCGGTAGTTCAGAAGCAGAACGGACGTGTCATTTATTCCTTCCGCTAATGCACTCTCTTGGCACTCCTGCTCAGAAAGCTGTGTACTAACAGGGTACATAAGCACGTATGTATCATTTGGGGGTTTTTTAATTATATAAGAAATAATTTAAATTTACTTTTTATAAATTATCCGTGTGACATCTCACCTCTTTGAGACATGACTGTCATCCCCGCTGTGGATATGACTGCAGCAGAAGTCACGACTAAGCCTTACCGGTATATTTACTTTTGAACACGTAACGGGTCTCTTGAACTACTCGTGTCTCAGGCTTCAGTTGGAGCTTGTGGGAAGCTATGTCCAGAATTCAGCCCTGCAGCTGTAAGCTTCATGAGTTGGTGTCACTGCGAGAAGAGGGATCGCTCGAGGAAAAGGTTTCCGCTCGAATTCCCATATTACTGAATTTCATAAATGAAATATTTATTTTTTTGTTTTCTAAATGTTGGTTTTATTAAGATTATCTTCCCTTATCCAGGACTTCCCTTATTCCCAATTACTTCCCGTATTCCCATCAGTCAGCAGACTTTGGGGGGCAGAGGGGCTTTGCAGGGTCTTGCCTGTCGTCTTTAAACGGGCAGAAATGGCAGCTGCCTGCACGGAGGGACCCTCCGGACCCCAGCACGGCTCTCGCCGTCCCCTTCTGCCCCCGTCCCGGAGCGGGGTGACACGCTGCCGGGCCAGAGGACAGTGACACCAGGGCTGGCACCGCGGTGGGCACGGCCAGGCTGGGGCAGGAGTAGGAAAAGAGTTTGTCATCATTCTTCATCTGCCCCCAGATTCGCTCACTTCGCAGTGGGCAGGCTCTCGCGTTGGTTGGGAGATGCGCAGATAAATGGAATTTCAGATCAGACCATTAGCGCAGCGCGGTCCTGTGCCGGTGGAGCTCAAGTCATTATCAACCAGTGGATTAGGATGTCAAAGTTCTGAATAAAAGATAAGACATAATTTAGGAAAAGCATTTCTTCTCATTCAGCGGTGCTTCCTTTTGCGTTGATTCTTCTGGTTTTCAGAAGGTACTGACCAAAAATAGACTTACCATGTTTAGTTAGAGCTTCTGTAAAACCAAAATGCCTGTGAGCGTTTCTACACGTTTTCCGTGTGCCTCCAGACCGGTCTTCACAGGACGAATGAATTGATTCTGTTCACAGCTTATGGGGTTTTCACGTACCTGTGTGAGAAATTGCTTTCTGACCTGTTTTCACCACCGCCTCACGGGACATTTTTCAGTGGGTCCAGCGTTTGCAGGAGGATGCAAACCTTGGCTGGCTCTTTTGGGTGAGGAGGAAATGGCAGAGGTCCTGTTGTGTCGTCAGGAAGGGGGTGTTCCAGTCTGACCGGTGCTAACACACTGGACTAGTTTTCTCTCGTTATTGTACCCCGCCAGTAATCTGCAGCTTACAGGTGGGCTTTGCAACAAGTGATCGAGTCGCGAGTTCCTGAAGATCCGCAAGCCTCTGTCCCCTCCGTGAGTCAACGACCTTCTGAGCTTCTCAGGTTTTGACTTTTGTTGGAAATGCCGTTTCCAGCCCGGCAGCGCCCAAGCGTCGCCTGCCTCCGGGGCGCGAGGCTGCTGCCGAAACAGACCGCGGCTCTTGCCGAAGGGTGCGCAGCCCGGCATTCCCTGCGGTCTCTCTCAGCACGTGCACCGGTTCATGGAGCTGTAGCTTGAACTCTGCCTGTAAAAAATAATATCAATGGGTTTGTTTCACAACCCCATTTGTTGAAAAGGCTAAAGCTAAGTAAAGACTTCTGACTGCGGTTTAACTTCGAGGCAAAGGTTGTGTGTTGTGGGAAGATACAGGTCAGGAGGAGGAGACAGAACTGGGTACAGCCTTTGTTTCCTAGCGGCATGCAAGCCATGGAAGCAATATTCTGGCTGTGCCTGGCTCTATTTAGATGTTATGTTAGATAAAATTATTGCAATCCATTCAAACTGTTTCCTGTTCCTTGCAGTTTTCCTTTCTTGGTGTCACCAGGCTTGTGCCTGGGAGGTTTGAACTCTGACCATTCTAAAATAATAATTTTTGAGTCAATCAGCAGCAGGTGGTAAAATAACCGGAGTGTGCTACAGCTGGGAGAGCCGCGCTCTAGAGTCGTTTCGTAGAGGACGTGGCTGTGCTGAAGGCGTGCTTTGGGAGCCCGGTGACCTGTCCCACCCAGGCGGCGGCGGGGGGTTAATGGAGCAGTGCATCATCTCCTGCCACGAGCCCAGATAACCAACTGGAGGAGCTGCGCGGGAATGGCTGCAAGTTGGGGAGAAGCCTGTAACAACCAGTCAGTGCTACGTACTGGAGAAGATAAATCTGCGGAAGAAATTGTTGAGGCAGATGTTTAATTAGTTGGAGTCAGGCTGGATAAATCAGGATCGGAGCTGCCTGTGCAGATATGCTGGTGTGCCTTCCTTGTCCCTGGGCTGGTTCCATTGTCCTTAGAAGCTAACTGTTCCTTCTGCTTAGGAAAGAAGCAGCGAAACCGGTCACATAACCTCTCCGTTGTTGTAATGGATTCCCCAGTGTACGCTCGTAAAACAGGAAATGTAATTGATGTTTTCTTATGGTAATGAAAAATAACTAAGTAGAATACTTTATCATCAATTTGTTTAACCTACTGCGTGCTCAGCAGCGTGTATTGCACATGCATATTTTACCTGAGAGCTGGAAATAAAACCCTCTTGGGTGTGGAATGGGCTCCCAGAGGAGACGGGTCTAATCCGGCGATGGACCACCTTGGCGGAGGCTCGGTGACGTCTCTCATGAGAGTGAGTTTTCTCAAAATGGCCAGAATGGGAGAGAAGGAGGCTGAGGACGGGGTGATATCCTGAGCACGGCAGTGAGGAGAGGAACCCCCAGAGCTCTCTTGGTGCTGCAGGGACCTTGCTGTGCCCATCCCGTCGGCTGGGCAGCACGGAGGTGCTGGGTGATGGCCTTGTAGAGAGCCCCAGTATCCAGGGGTGGTCTGAGGATTGCTTTGTATGAACTTGCCACGTCTAGAGCTCTTTGAGAATGGTTTTGAACATTGTGAGCCCTCCAGCAGCTGATGGTTTAAATGTAAAATTGGTCTGCAGTGTGGCAGATGTACAGAAAGGGAATGACGTGCTTGAAATCATGAGCATGGGAACTTCTTGTTCCTCCTGAATTTATCAGTGAAAATGTCAGAGATGGTGCTCTCTGGGTTTTGGAGAGAGATAATAATGGAGTCTTGAAAAGCCTTTTTGGGAGGTTAAGATCTGGGTGCTTTAGTGCTTGATATAATTCTGTTCCCTAGAAATCTTAAGCAAGAGTCTCAATGTTGAGTTCTGAACAGGGTGGATATTAGATTATGCTTTTAAAATCCCACCCTCGTGTTTTGCAGAGAAAGTTTTGTAGGTCATGGAGATCATGTTGCAGAACTGTAAAATACCGTGATCAATATAACTTGATTAGCTTTGCCGCTAGCTGGTTTCCCTGCACAATCAATCCGGGGTGTGTTCCTGCTGGGCTGACCTGGACCAGTACCTCCCAGCACCCCTCTAGCCTGGGAACTTGGCTTATGGCAGA